GTTTATTCCTTACTTGGGTTTTTTGCTATGTCTAACACTTTCAATGAAATCACCCCTTGCTTTTATAGTTATGAGTCTGCCTGCAGGTTGGACTGGTTTCATTTCATTCAAATTTCTCTGACTCTTGCTTCTGCTTGAGTACTCAGATGCTCCCATGGGCATTTCTTTTCCTGCCAAAAGGGCCTTTGGTTTTCCTAGAAATATCCAAGGGACATCCCACATGTGTGTTTGCAAACTACCCTTCTCTTTGAACCCTAAGGATCCTTCCTCATCTCTCACTGAATCTTTCCAAGAATGTTCCACACCGACTTCAAGGTCCCAGGATGTCTCAGATATTCTTGCAGACAGGGACAGTTTCCTACCCTAAGCCTTCCCTGCTGTCTTTTCCCTTAGAATCCTTCCTCTGCCAGGAGGCTCCTCACTACCTTCTGCACAAGACTAATTCTGGCCATGCTTCCAGGCTATGGGACAATAGACAATGATGGGTCGCTCGATCTGACAAAGCCCCAAAGAGGGAAACAAGTGATAGAGTCTGAGTGATCAGCAGCCCCTCCAAGAGTTTCCCAAAGGCCCAAACAGCCTTGAGATTCTGAGGTTCCTTCCTCTTATGTATGTCCTGCTACCCCTCGATTTACTCGATGTGGGGAGAACAGGGTTCAATTAAGAGCAACAATTCTGTTGAGGATCCTCTTGAGCTTGAGGCTTGGGCCAAATGACATTGTCCTTACTTGGGTCTCCAAGACCTATCCCAAGACCTCTGTAGGAGGTGTCACTGGAGCCCTGTACACAATTCCCTAAGTGCCTACAGCTCTCATGCATAGCAACCCTTTGGCTTCTTACTGCAAAGTCCCTGGGGCTCTAGGTGCTTTTCCTCACTGCACGAATATTCTGGGGTGGCATGGGCTGGAAGTGTGGGTAGTTAACATCCATGTTGTCAGAGCTCTGACAACAGGAGGCAGTTAGAGGATAAACGCCTTCGCTCCCTTGCTGCTCAGATGTACCTTGTCTGAAACCTCCATGAGGCCTCAGATGGGTAAAGCGTGATCACACACAGGAGCCTACCTGCCTATAAAATTCCCTGAATTGGCGTTTTTCCTTTTCCTTCCCTGTCTCTCTTCTCCCAGTGCTACTGTGTTTTCTGGGATCAGTCTTCACAGGGACCATTTCATTCAGATATATCGTATGTGACACCAGAGTCCAGTCTGTTGCAGAGGAGACCCAAAGCAACCGGCCCCCTTTCAGTCCCCATGTTTGTTCCAGAGTCGCCTCTCCCCTTTCCTTTGCCTGCTTCACTCCGGTGTGTTCGCGGTCTCTCTCTCTTCATACACCCTCTTCACCCTTAAGGCACCTTTAGAATTGTCTCCCAGTCCTTGTCTCACTCTTTGACAAGCTTCCTGACCTGTTTCTCCCACTCCAAGATTTAAGGACAAGTGGTGCCTACATCTCCATGCCTGGTCCAAGTCAAGATGCCATTTGCTGGGAGTAAACAAAACAAGTTTCTCACTTCCTACTTTTGTCTTTTATGATCCTCAGTTCCTGGACATCATTTTCTTCTCCTCTCAGGCTATATTTTATCCACCTTGACTCCTCTTTTTCTCCTCTTTCTTTGTATAACTTTAAATACTGCTGTTACCCAAAGTCCTTGCCCAGGGCTCTTTTTTTTCAGTCACCTACTTGGCCCAGTTGGTCTCATACTTTCCTCTGACTTCTGACTTCACTATTCTTAATGTGTTAATAACCTTTTTAAAATACATTAATTAATTAATTAATTAAACACAATATATTACATGCATTCTATATAAAAGTTTTGTGTTAAATAGTGGAGATACAGAAGAGAGACAGAATATGTCCACTCTTATAGATTCCTGTGATTAAAGATAATTGCTATATGCTGGGCGTGGTGGCTCACGCCCGTAATTCCAGCACTTGGGAGGCTGAGGCAGGAGGATTGTTGTGAGCTCGAGGCCAGCCTGAGCTACAAAGTGAGCTCAAGGTCAGCCTGAACTATATAGCAAGACCCTGTCTCAAAAAGTCAAAAAAAAAAAAAAAAAAAAAAAGAAAAAGATTAGTGCTATAGCTGAGTGTGGTGGCATACACCTATAATCCCAGCACTCAGGAACCTGAGGCAAAAGGACTGATGAGAGTCTAAGGCCAGCCTGGCCTACAATAGTGAAATTTAAGGCCAACCTGAATTGCATAGCGAGACCCTGTCTCAACAAGACAAAAAAAAAAAAATTAAATCTTGAGTTTAGATGGTGGATATAAGTATATGTTCAGTGTAAAATTCTTTTTTTTTTTTTTTTTTTTGAGACAGGGTCTCACTATGCAGTTCAGGCTGGCCTTGAGCTTACTTTGCAGCCCAGCCTGGCCTTGAACTCACAATGATCTTCCTGCCTCAACTTCCTAAGTGCTGGGATTACAGGCGTGTGCCACCACGCCCGGCTCACTTTTTTCTGTATGTTAGAAATTTTGCATAATATTTAAAAGGAAAAAAATAAAACAGCTGTGGGAAAGGCACCCAAGGCTGGTTCCCCGATGTCAAACCAGCCCCACCACCAGTGCCTTCATCTCCCCCATGCCCCCACTGACAGTGAGGACTGAGATTCCAGGGGTCTCCCCCTGCTTGATCAAAGTGTCTCTCTGGCTTTTGTCTCTGAAGTGCATCCTCTTCACATTCTGAATGGTCTCTCCCTCCCTCCCTTTCTCCAAGTGCTGTGCATGGGGAACTGATCAGTCCCTGCACAGGGTAAGTCATGTAACAGACATCTTCCATAATCTACCAGCCTTCTATGTCTTCACAAATAATGACCAAAGGCCCACTTCTGAGATGATGTGCTGAAATCAAGCACTAGAAATAAACAAGAATGAATTAGGTAGGGTGTGGGGGAAGCAAAAACTATTTAGGACTCTGGCCTGTGCTCCATTAAGTCTACTCAAATTACATAGGTGAGAAACCTCTGAAGGCCAGCAGCTTGCATTCTCACCACTTGGGGGCGAGATGGAGCCATCTCTGGATGCTGTGGCTGACACTTCTGGGTTCCTCTGGTAGACAAGAAAAGGTCTTGGTGGTTCCGGGCAGGGGTCCTGTGGCGCCAGGCGAGTGCACCAATACCTCTGCTGCAGAGAGGGACACTTTATGAGTGTGTTAGCAAATTGAGCAAGGATGCACTGTAAGGACCAAAGGGAACCCCGAGAGGCTGACACAGATTCTTCCTCCCCTCTATTTAACCCTGGCACAAGCCTTACCACTTAGAAACTGTCGTTGAGCTCACTGTAGCGGAGGATAAGTTAGGACTTCTTCTCTTCCTCTTCTACTCAGCAACTGTTCGAGGTGGGGGCTAGTGCCCCGTTTCTCCCAGTAGCCTGAGTCTAGGGATTGGTGTCCTACTGACTAGGGTGCAGGGCTACCTCTGGGGTTTTTACTCCTGCTAGATGAACACAAAGACGAGGAGCTAAGACTCAGTAGAGCAGACGCAAGCAAGCCCAAGAGACTGTCCAGAGTCTGCCTGGTGTCTCATGTGTTCTGCCAAAGATAGAAAGGACAAATGAAGCTGGTGTCATGTGGTTCTCCCATTTCTCCCACTGCTATAGTGGTCTGGGCTTTCTGTGGAGGCTACAGACTGAGCTGGGACTCAAGAGTATCCCTCTGAGAAGCACAGGGACAGGGGGCAAGGGACAAACATTCCTCCTCTCCAGGTCTGGGACACATGCAGGATGCAAAACTGAGAACCCTTTGGTTTGTCCTGGAATCTGAATATGCAGAAATATCAACAAAGGGGAATTAGGCAGATAATGGCAGAGGACACGGCCAGTTTAAACCATCAGAGTCACAGCTGCAGAGGGCACAAGGGCCTACCCCCGTGCCTCTCCCACTCCCATCCTGCAGCTGCAGAATCAGAGTATGTGAAGTCACTCCTGTCACAGGCACATGCACACAGGCACACACATGCCAAGGTTCACATACGACAAAAATACAGCTCCCCCAAACACACCTTACTCAGGCACTCTGTAGGTTCTTTCCCATAGAGAATCACTTCTGGAGACAAATCTTTAAAAAGGTTTTTGCCTCCACTGCAGCTTCTTTTGCAGTGAGAGAGGACTCCAGAACAGCCCAACTGTCCTGCACTAGCTCCCATCAGGGAAGTCTGACATGGCCCTTTCCAATAATCCCTGGCAGGCACTCCTGCACACAGTACAGGTGCTGACCCTGGAGTGGGATACACACACACACACACACACACACACACACACGTACGCAGGAAAGTACTGGATCCCTTGGGTGATTCCAACAAACATCCTCAGACAAGCCATACAGGATAAGGGGAAACTAGGGCTCAAATGGCTGAGGGCTGTTGATCCTAAATGGTTGGGATCCCCCTTGTGGTTTGACTTGAAGAGAGGCACTCCTGCCCCCAGAGGCCTGAGGGCTGGGTTGGCAACTGGCCCTGGGGGCCTGGGAAACACACACGTGCTCCTTTATAGCTTTCTTCACAGCCTGGAGCTATGTGGTGGATTTCTGCTCCTCTGGTTTATTGTCTGGCTCCCTCCCATAGAAATGTAAGCCCAGAGTTTGTTTTTTTCTGGCCCCCAATCTAGCCCCAGCCCTACTGGATTGTTCATAAATATTTATTGAATAAGTTTGTAGGGTTTTTGTCCAAACTAGCCCACTTTTATCCCCTCTGTCCTTTAAAGGACTGGAGGTTGAGAGTTTCCACCAAATTCTGACATGTACATGGCAGGGGAGAGATTCCCAGCAAACTGTCCTGGTGGCTGAGGGGTCAGCCACCGTTTTCTGCTCCCTTCTGGCAATACCTACAGAGCTTCCTCTAGGTACGAACCCAACCTCCGAGCTCCCCGGAATTGTCCTAGAGTCCTTTAACCGCGCTGCAGCTCCTCCACCCTCTCCCCTCTCCTGTTTCACCCCTCCAAGAGGTTCCCCTGCCGCCCGCCGCGCGGGTCCCTGCTGCTGTGAACTCTCGGAACTGATTCGAGAACGCGCACGCCTTTGTTTCTTCTTTATTTGCGGATATAATTATGTACCGCACTCTAAATTAGAGATAGATTTTTTTTTCTGATATACATTTCATCTTATTCACCACGAGCACACCACACGCACAGTAGGACAGTTCCACAACCTGATAAATTGCACAAGATGAATTTGGATTCCTGAAAACAGGCAGGCAGACCCGCCCCGCAGCGGCTTCCCCCGGCTTCGCCGAAGGAAATCGCCCGCCCACAATGGATTTCCCGGTCAGCCTTTCTGGCTGCAAGGTTGCAATGCCTCGGGAATGGGAAGCGCTCTTGCTGGAAATGGCGAGACGCTGTAGATTCTGAGCACTGGATGGCTGTGAAATGTCCCCCCAAGGTCAAGTTCCCGCGCCTGTGAGCTGCGCCCCTTCTCCTTCCCTTCCCATTTCCTGGGTGACTGGAACCAAAGTGTCGGGGCCCCTCCTGGAAGGACAGAAACCCCCGCCCACAAATGCTCCCGCCTCCCCCCAAAACCAGGGTGTTGTGGAAAAGAAAGGACAACAGAAACGCAGACGCGATGGATCATGGATCCCTATCCCCTCCCTCCCACCCCCGTCCCCGAATAATCAGAAACTAGGAACCAGAGATGTTGAAGCTTGGCTTCCCAAGCGCGGCGGCACAGCGCGCGGGGCTGGTGGGGGTGGGTTGGCGGGGAGGGCAAGGAAGCGGTCGGGCTCGCTCTCCCCCCTAGTCCTCCGCGTTGGTTCGGTAGGCCTCGATGAGGCCCTCGAGGGAATGCACGAAGCCGGACACACTGCAGATGCCGCCGATGACGAAGATGGCAACGTCGAAGAAGACTTGGTGCCACAGCAGCTTGCGCCAGAGCAGGCGCAGGTGGAAGAGGCTTGGCAGCAGGAAGCAGAGGCCGGCGCCGGTGAGGCTGCCGGTGAGGCCCATGAGCAGCGCGAAGTGGGGCACATAGATGGCCATGAGCAGCGTGAAGACGACCAGCGCGCAGCGCAGCGTGAGCCCCCAGGACTTGAGGCGCCCGTCGCCTCCGTAGCAGGCGGGGAAGAAGGCGCGGCTCCCTTCCTGGAAGAGCGACTTCTCCAGCACCTCGACAGCAGCGAAGAAGGGCAGCGGGTAGGACAAGAGCGCCTTGGCCACCAGAAAGATGTTGACCACCGCGCGGATGGAGCCGGGCAGGTTATCCGTAATGACTTCCTTGGTCTCATCCGCCCAGGTGAGGTAGGCGACGAGCGCGAAGAGGCCCTTGAGCACGCAGGCGGCGATGTGCGTCCAGTTCATCATGCAGTGGAACTCGCTGGGCTGCTGCATGTTCCCCTCCAGCGAGGGCAGGAAGATCTGCGACGTGTAGCTGAACACGATGATGCCGATGGAGATGGGGAACTTCTTGACGTCGATGTAGAACTTGACCTTCTCCCAGGCCCAGTCGCGCGCCCGAGATAGACAGTAAGCGATGACCAAGATATTGATGACGAAGTGGGCCAGCGTGCACAGTAGGCTGAACTTTGACACAGCCTTGAGGTTCTTTAGAAAGGCGCAGGGCAGCAGCACAGCCGTGGCGATAATGGACCAGGACTTCTGCGACACGGGCAGCCCGGGAAAGCTGTTGTACATGAGGTTGCCGCTCACCACCACGTACAAGATGCACGTCATCACCAGCTCGATGATCTGCGCCACATTGACCACGCGGCCGCCCAGCGTGGGGAAGCGCGGTGCACAGCACGCATTGGCTATGGCCACGTAGGAGTCCCGCACGCGCACCACCTCGCCGTCCTCGTTCTCCTCGTACAGGCACGCGATGAGGATCTTGCCGGTGTAGCAGCATACGACGGCGGCGAAGATGATGAGGAACAACCCCAGGTACCCACCGTGTAGGATGGCGTAGGGCAGGCCCAGTACGAACATGCCCTGTGGAACGGAGAGGCAACCAAATGGGGGGGGAAAGGCTCAGTCGACGCAGCCCCCGAAGAGGACCCTGGGGCTGTGGCTTAAAACTACCGCAAGGGGGCGCTAAGGGGAGGGTGAGACTCGAGCCTAAGGCACCAGGGAGGAAAGATAAAGAGTAGGCTGGAATGGGGGTGAAAGGGGCCCTAATAGCGAGCCCGACGGGATGTGGAGTCGAAGAAGGAAGGAGAGGTGTTTAAGGATGAAACTGAGAAGGGAACCTGGGGTAAAGGCTGGGAGATAGGGAGGAGGGATGAGAGTGGGGGGATGTGGGGTTACTTGGGGTTGGTTCCTGAGGATGGAACCGGAAGTGGACATGAGAAGGGTCTGGAAGGAGCTTCATAGGGAAGGGGCACTAAAAAACCAGCTGGGCCTAAGTGGGCACTGGATTTAAGGAGGGCTGGAATGGGGTGCACACTAAGGAGGAAGCGCTGGTGTCAAGGGCCAAAAAGGAAAAGTTAAGGGCTTCAGTGGGAGGAAAAGGAGATGGGGTAGAGAGGAAGTGGGGCTGGAAGTGGGTCTGGAAGTGGGGCTGAAAGTGAGGTGAAGCCAAGAGTGGAGGCACAGGTGGTCGTGCTTTGGCGGTGTGGGTGCTTTGGGGGTTGAGGTGTAGGGGGGAGAAAGCAGCGTCGGAAATACTCTTAGGACAAGGCTGGAGTTGCGTTGAGGCCAGGGCAAGCCCTAAGGAAGGGTACTAAGCGGAAGTAAGTGGCCAGTAGGAGGGGGAGCCTACCTACCCTGAAAGCCCGAGCACCGCGGGAAAGCAAAATCAAGCTGGGGTCTAGATCCGAAGCTGTAGGGCTACGGGCCAGGCTGCAGAAGTGTGGCGTAGAATTCACATGGGGGGAGAAAAGGTAACGAAATCCGGGGTCCTGGAGGCCTGTGCGACCCAGCTTACTGCCCTGGCCTCTCTCCCGGCCTGTAGAACAGGGCCTTGAAAGACGGCGGAGGGGGGACCGCTCGGCAGGTGCGGGTGCGGCTCCCCCAACCTATTAATACCTATTAATGCCTTTTCGTCAGGCCCTGGAGAGGGAGGAGCCTCGGGTCGGGCCACCTAGTAGGAGTCCCGGCTGAGCTCAGCACCCCGAGCAATCGCTGCACGCCCGGAATCTACTTCTGCGCTTCAACGACCGGGCGCTGCGGGGACTCCGCGGGGCCAAGGGGAAAAGCCAGGGGGTACCTAGAGCCCCGGACTCTTCTGTCCCTGAAGCTGCGACCTGCCAGCCTCTCCTGGCTCCCAGGATCGTTGTGAGGACTCCAAACCCCTTGTGGCGGAGTCCTACCCCCGCTAGGTGGGGATTGGAGGGTGAGGGGGCGGGAAGTAAACTTGGAGGGCCTAGAGACCACGGCTGTCCTAAGCCTCAGGACCCGGGTTCACCAGGGTCACACGGAGGCGCAGACTGCCTCTCTGCGGTGCAGCCGGGATTTCGGGCGAGAGGGGCAAGTCTGTGCGCACTACGTAGCACAGAGCCCCGCGGACCGTATGTGCTAATGTGGGTACCCCCGTGTGCGTTCCTGTGTATAAAAGCCTGTATGTCTCTAGCAGGGCTGCATCTGGGACAGCAGGCTGGGTATTGTCTGCACGAGCGTGTGCCGGAGTGTGCACATGTTATGTTCAAACGAGTGTGTGCATTTGCTGTATAAGGGTACGTGCTGCTGTGTGTAGGGGGGGTGCGCGGGTGTACTTGGGGATAATTCTGTAGGCTATAAATAGATGCGTGTCGTGTGCGTGTTCGTACGTTGGGAGGGGTTGTGGGCCTGTGCGCCTATGTACATGTGCATGCTTTATGCGCGTGTCAGAGGAGACTACCAGTTTAGCTGTTTCCCCCTCTCTTCTGCCTAAAATGCAGCTGTGAGTCCATTCCGGAGTTCAAGTGGTTACCACTCTCCAATCCGGATTTTCTTTCTCCTTCATCCCTCCCGCTCTTCCTTACTCCTCCCCCCACCCTGCCCCGCGTGCGCGTTTCTCTAGATTTTTGCAGGGTCTAGGACTAGGGTCTCCCTGCCCTGCAGCTGGGGAGCTGGGAGGGGGCGCGACTCTGGGCAGGAGACACCGCCTGGGGGCGTAGATCCCCGAGTAAGGCTAGGAGAGATCGGGAACGGGAAATAGATTCACCCTTCCTGAAAGGGTCTCGAAGCGAAGATTGCCGCTGCGTAGGGGCAGAGCCTGGCACACAGCTGGGCTAGGAGTAGGGGATGGAGCATCTGGGAATCCCGCGCTCACCTGAATGGCGTTGGTCACATTCCAGCCCGCTTCCCACGCTGTGATCTTGGGTTTGTCGTGGCCCCCGAACTCACCACCGGCCCCCATGCCCTGGTCTTTGGAGCCTGAGGGCGGCAGGGGAGCGCCGCCGCCGCGCTGGTAATGGATGTCCCCTTCGACGGGCGGTTCTGCGCCCTCCTCTCCGCCGGGCTCGCCCTCGGCTTTCAGGATGTCCATCTGCAAGCCCTGACGGTGCTCAAAGTCGAGGTCGTCGCAGTGCGCGAAGCCCACCGCCTCCTCGTCCGTCGCCGCCTGAAAACCCATCCTGGCAAACATACCGCTCACCTTGGCCTGGGACTTGTTGGACACGGACGTGGCCACATTGGACAGCTTGCTGCGGAGCAGGGTGGCCATGGCGGCGGCAGGGCCCGAGGAAAGGACAGAAGGGGCCGAGGACGCGGCGGACGCGCGTCAAGACAGCGAGGCCCGGGGCCGCGAGGCCGCTACCTCCGCTCGCTGTCCCCACTGCGCCGCGGGGCGCTCTGGCTCATGACCCGCTAGAGTGGCGTTCGAGGCTCGCTCAGGGCCAGACCGGGCAGGCGAGCAGCGGGACCAGCGGAGCGGCGGAGGCGGTGGCTAGAGCACTGCGGAGCTGCGCGGGGCGCGGGCTGGGCTGCGGAGGGCGGCGGCGGCGTCAGAGCCGCTACGCGAGGCTGGCGCGGCACCCCCACCCGTGCGCAGCCCAATGCGCGCCCGCCCCTCCGAGTCAGGCGGTGCGGGGGTGGAGGTTGGAGAGGGGGAACACCCTGAGGCCGGGGGCGCGAGGAGGGGGCGAGGAGAGGAGAAAGGTGGCCCGAAAGAAGTCACAAGTGAGGTGGGGGCAGGAGAAAGGTGCCCTGGGGGAGGAGGCGAGAGGAAGCGCGCGAAAGGGAGCGCGGAGGGCCGGGTGGGGGGGCTCCAAGTGCTGCATTTCTGGAGGAGGTGCTAAGCTCCGGCCCAGGCCCTTCCCACTTCGCCACCGCAGGGAGGGAGGGGTTGGGGGTGGGCTGATTCTCGCGGTCTCCCGCCCCCCGGACCAACCCTCCAGAGTCCGGTAGCTGCGCGGCCCCAGATCCTCTGGCTACGCACTGATCCCGGAGGCCAGAAAGCCAGCAAGACAGAATTGCCTGTGTTTGACGGAGCCGGGAGCGGACCGTCTGGGCGTCGGTTTGTTTCACTGGCACCTCTCACTCGCACTTAAACCTGGCCCAAGTCCTCCTTGGAGGCAGAAGTGGTGGACACAGATCGTTCTCCAGGATGCCAAGCCCCGAGCCCGATCACCTGGGACCACCTGGGCTGTTTCTGCCTGTCCTGGGAGGCCGCGATGGAAGCGGTTCGGCAGATCGCTCGCCACCAACAGCTCTCCAGATGTGTGCTGAATGGAGGCGAAAGATTGGCTTTTCGCTTGGGGAGTGGGAGCTGGAAGGAAGCAGGACTCTGAGAACACCCGACGGTAGGCTCCTGGAGTGTCTGCAAATGCCTACGCTCAGAGGGGAGCAGCGGGTGTCCAGCACGGAGGAAAGAAAGGTTCGGGATGCGCAGGACCTGGGCTCGGAGGTGCACCTTGCGCTCCGCCGCTGCTCACATCGCTGCCACCCGGGCTGAAGGGCCTGAACGGTCTCTGTTGAGTGAGATGTGTGTGTTAGAGCATGAATAGGACAGAGATCCAGAGACAAAGACAGGCACGGAATCAGTTACTGCTGTGGGCTGCATCTCTGTAACTCTGAGAGTGAGATTCAGTAACTGGGTACAGTTCGTGGGCGGGGGAGGGGGGTGCCGTTCGTGTGTGTGTGTGTGTGTGTGTGTGTGTGTGTGTGTGTGGCTTTGTGCACATTAGTGTCTGTGCGTTCGAGGCTGGTTTGTGAGACTGTGTGTCTATGTGTTTCAAATGGGATTGCCAGCATTTGTGCTTGTATGAGTTCCTTTGTAGCTCTCTCTGTGTGAATCGCCTGCTCTGTGTGGGAGGGGTCCCTGTGTATGTTCCCAGCTGGGCTCCCTTGTTGGACTCCTAAGCGGTAAGGCACAGGGTTCGACCTGGCAGTCCTAGTCCAAGTGGAGGAATGGCTGTAACTGAGGGTGGGAGGGAGTAAGTGAAGGAAAGGAAAAAGAAAGGGACTCTCAGTCTCCCCTCTCTAGAGGCCTCTTTTCCCTAGGAACCCCACTGTCTCCCCTTGCAGAATTTCTAGATTAGCTCACGCCAGCGCACAAGTAGGCCAGCCTGAGGGCTTTGACCAGCGAGTTGGCTCTGCCAGGACAAGGCAGCACAGTCCCCAAACCCATTCCAAGCACCTCACAGTCTTACTAGCCACACTCTACACATATGACCCTCGTCCCTCCCTAGATATACCCTTCACTTCCCCCAGGACCTCAGCATATCCTCCATCTCTTGCCTGGCAGAAACTAAGACAGAAATTGTCTCCCTACCCTGAAAAATTTTCCCACATCTCCAGCCACTGTGATCAGAAACCCTCTCCATTGAGCCCTCCCCCATAGATTGACCCTCCTTGTCATGATACGACTCTGAGCTGAGTGTCGATGGGACAGAGGTTCTTCCTCTGCTAATACAGAGATCATCTTTTCCAAAGAGGATGTGAAACAGAAGCGATCCTCTATCACAGAGTTGTCTTATACAGAGACTCTCCCCCAAACCCCTCAGTAAGAGAGCCTTTGCCCCTTACATATTCCTGTAGACAAAGCTCTCCACCTCTTGCCCCTCTGTCTTCCTCTATTCCTGGTGGAATTCTTTTTGGCTCATACCACATGATCTGGACAAAGAGTTCTCTGTAGTGTTTTCTAGTGCCTCCTACCCTGGCACTGACACCAGACCTAAAGATGACCATCAGTACCTTCTTTGACAGGTGAGTCCAAAGTGTTTGCACTCTTTTTCCTTTTCCTGCATGATGTTCATTGCTCTAGGACCCAAGCAGGGCTTTGAGGTTCTTTGTCAGTGAGAAATGGGGTCACTTATTCATTCATTCAGTGCACCTTTTCACCACCCTCTATGCATGTGTGTTCTGGCTGCTGTGGAAATTACCAAGACATGAAAGCATGGTCCCTGCCTATGCTCATACCATATCTTGGTCCAGGAGAGACCTCAGAGAGCACTCAGGACAATTGTCCTTTCTTCTATGCTTGCAATAGCCCTACAGAGCCTCCCTTGAATCCTAATTGTGTGATAAGCAAATCCACACCCACTTAATGAAGTGTCCTGCTCAAGGTCACAGAAGATCCTGACACTCTTTCCCGTGTACCTTCCCTCCACAGCCTCCTCTTGTCCTTCCATTTCTATCCTGGATTGGTGTTTGGTATTTGGCAACTTCACCATTCAAGGAGACAAAAGTCAAAATTAGATTTCAGGGCCTCTTGCTGCAGTTAGCTGGCAGTGATTGTGAAGAAACTTCTCTCTTGCTCCTTCTTCCCTGCCGTTGGTAGTAATACCTCTTCCCAGGCTGACGGTGGCTGTGACAGCCCCACTCCTTATAGGAAAATCCTGCTCCATCATGTGCTGGCTCTGTGACACTGGACCACTTCTCTTATCCTCATTTTCTCATCTCATATGAAAACAATACTTGTAGCATCACAATTCTTGAGAGTTGAGTCAGATCTTGTATATAAATGCTTAGCCTGTACTAAATGCTCAATATGTGATTATTACTATACTCAACTACCATTCTCATTGTGTGTATATAGGGGTGGGAGAGGGAATGTGTACACAGGAAAAACCCTGCACTTGGATCTGAGGGAGTTGGAATGTAACTCTTCATCTCTGTCCCTACCCCTTCCAACCCTGAGCTGACCTGGAGAAAAAAGAATGGAGGCCAAGAGTAGGACAGAGCATGGGGTACCTGGCAGGTGACCCAAGAGACGAACAAAATGACTAACCTAGCTGGAAATGAGCTGAGCTATGTGCTAGTGACTTCACCCTCCAGATTCCCCTACATAGCTCCTTTCCCGTGAAAGGAATCTGCACAACCTGGCCCCTGGGTTTCAACACAGCACACACACACACACACACACACATGCTCACACACAGAATGACAAGCCAACTGATGCACAAAGAAATGAGGACCAACACACAGATTCAAGTGCATCTCTAGGTTTACACGGATTGACAAAGCAACACACAGGTCAAGGACAGGCCAGCACACAGACACAAGATTTGTATCAAGACTGGCCACACACAAAGAAACCAGGACAGATGCCCATGGATCCATCTGTTTGAGTAGAGTCACCCAGGTAACAGGCGCAGGCACTTGGCAGTACAGAGACCAATATATACAGAGAATCCTGCATGACAGGCTCCTAGACACAAGCAACACATGACTCACACTGAGACCAATAGTCAGGGATACCCTTATGTGATTGCTAGAGGGGAAAGGAGAACAAAGAAGGAAAGAGACAGGGAGACAAAAAGGAACAAGCAGGAAGAGGGCAGCAGGGAGACAAGCAGACCATGCCATCCACAACCCCTAGCCAGCGGGACATGAAAAGAGGCAAAGCTGTCACAGCCTTCCCCTAAGACACAAGGGAGAGGAGAGGGTGAGGGGAGAGAGCAGGACCTATCCTTGCCCAGCCTGGAAGAGGGGTGTCTCCTCATAGGGCCACAGGGTCTCCTTGTTTTGGGGGAAACTGGGTTTGCTGAGGGGAAATGAGTGAGGGGTTCCCAGGACTGCTTCAAAGCTTCTATGAAGCAGGGAATTCTGGGCCAGGATTCTGGATCAGCAAGACTCTAGACAAGTTCCCTGAAGCCAGGTCCAGATGAAGCACATCCTCCCAACACACACACACACACACACACACACACACACACACACATGAGCTCAATCCCTGTCTTTGATATGTTCAGTACCCAGGGGGTTAAGTGCCTGACTAGTGAAAAGGGAGGCCACTTGGAGGGAATAAATAGGGTTAAACTGAACTGGGCTTATCTCCCAGAGCAGGCAGCAACATGGAGAAAGGGGGGCATGGAACTCTTGAATTAATGGCCTGGAAAGCCAACATCATGAGCATCATTTCGGGGCTGAATGATCACGAACAGATCCCTCCCCATCTCCAGACTGTGACTTGGAGCCCTGCTTTTCCAGAGCAAGGTCTGCCTGTGAGCCTCTTCCTGCCAAGGAGACAGGTGCTGCTCTATAAATCAGCCCACTCCCTGGTGCCTGAGGCTGGGACGCTGGTCCGGTTTCCCTCCAACTACAGCAAGTCATGTTCACCTTCCCCAAACCAGAACCCAATCTTCTGATGCTGTGTCCGTGGGCACAACAGAGGACAGGGACAGCAAGGCTGAAGTCTGCAGTGGGCAGTCCATGCGGATTCTTCTGCTTTCTTGGGGGATGTAGGTGCTACCTCTGTTAGTTCAGGCTCAGGCACATTAGAATACATCGATGATTGTGTAAATTTTAGCAGTTTTCCTTGCTGAAGTGGTGGACATGACCTCTCCAGAGACATCTAGGCAGAGGCTGGATGCCCTGTCAGAGACAGTGTCCATGGGAGTCCTGCCTCAGGTCAAGGGAAATTAGATTTCATTACTTCTGGGTTTCTAGGTACAGGCCTTCCATGCTGAGAGCTCTGGGAAGGAGCCAGGGAGCAAGGGATATGTGGAACCAGGGAGCAAGGGATATGTGGAGGCAGGCCTTATCCTTGCAGCCTTTTAAAAATTATTATTATATATATTTTTTGAAACAGGGTCTTGCT